TAAGAACAAATAACATTAAACTATTAGTTAAAAGGAAGGAAAAGAGCATTTCTGTTGATGTCATAGATGAAGGAATTAGAGTCCATGACCCTCAGAGAGCTCTGTGCCTCTCACTGCCATCTTGGTCACAGTTGCCCTTTTTAATCCCTGCTGCCCTTACCTCCTGCAGACTGCACACTCCGCTGAGGGAGCTCATCAGTCCTGAAGTGCTCTGCTTTCCTCCTAGACAGCCTCCTTGAGCTGTAGGAAACCAGAGCAGATTGCTTTTTCCTCTCTGCTACACAGGCTCCACCCCACTAGAAGGACTAGAAGGCTTAGTCCTAGAGTATTTTATATATGCTCTAGCAAGGAATCTATTAGTAGAACTATCTGTGAATGAACAAAAACAGTTATATGCCATGCTAGCTGGATCTTAGCTCAGGTATTTTAATTAGGAGATGGAAGAGGCCTGGTCTGAGCAGGAGCAGCTTGCCCTGCCAGCCTCAGTCCTTTATATGAAAGTAACAGAAAGTCACACTTTGGTCTGTGCCTTTTATGTCTAGCATATTACACACTGTTTATTTAATTTGAAAAGCAGTCACACCAGGCACAGATAGAGAGTATCTATTTCTGCTGTAAGGCAAATGAGGAAAGTGATGGCAGTGTGTGGTATGGTTCCACTGGACCTGGGACTTCACTTCCCAGGCCTGATCCAACTTTGGAATGCTTCTTTGGTGGTTAATGTCCACTGAGTCCACAGGCCAGACCCAGATACTGCAAACACGCAGCCACTATATCGCATTGTCACCTGCCAATGCTTCCCATACCCTCCTGAGAATTATCTTCTGGGATGCTGATCAATACCAAATACTGTAAAAAAGCATCTCCAGGGGAGGAAGGGCCTTGGTAAATGAACTTGTTAACAAGTGATCCAGTGAGATTTGGAAAATGCTGGACTCCAGACTGTGACACTCAAGGCTGCAGTGTGGGGGAGACTCATACACATGCATCAGGATCTGTCCTTTCTTACGTGTGGGCTTTCGAGGGGTACATCAGACCCTTGGAACCTGGGTAGTTGAGCATCTTTAGCTTGTCTCGTAATCCTGAACTGGTATTTTGCAGGCCCTCCACAGAGGCACTTTTCTTTCCTTCTTTCTCTCATAGTTTCTTAAAGCATGTGGAATTCCCAGTTGAATGAAGCCTTCTTCCCAATAGAAACAAATAGCCTTAAGCTGACAATGTTGGTTGAAAGGAAGGAAAGAATGTAGAAAGTGTACCAACTAATGCTGTGAATAAAGATCCTAGAGAGGCCACAGCCCTCTGAGAACTCAGAGACGCTACATCCTGCATGCATTTCCCCAGGACTTGGGAGCTCTAGGCTTCTTCCGGCTTTATCCTGCAGATAGAACACCTCTGACAGGTCTGGTTTCCTAGTTATTTTCCAAAGGCATAGGGAAAATACCTTCCATTAACTTGAATATTTCAGAGCCCTCAGGCCTCTAAGGTTTGGGTCATTTTCCTGCAACAGTAGACAGGATGCAAGAAAATAAAGAGTGGCTGACAGCTTGGGAAAGCAGGGAGAGAAGCCCAGTAAACAGTATCCTGGAATTTGAAGATTTGCTGAATGGGGCTTGTTACAACCTTGATATTGCTCTCTTATAAAATCATCTTACCAATGAGGCAGGACAAAGGGATAACTCGCTCTCTCTACCAGGTGAAAGGCACTCAGTGTATAGTGAGAATATGAAGGTCTTTATTTCCTGGTTTGGAAAAATGGTCATGTTTAATGTACGTAAACCTTAAAAATCCCTCAAACTGACTTCTGGCTAGTCAGTACCGACTCCATCAGATTTCCAAGGCTTTAACTCTTTACTGGAAAAGACTACCCATCTTCCTTCTACAGAACAGAAGAGGGTAGATTAGAACTGATAACCTTTTGCTTAGCCATTTAACATGTCACACACTGCACCACTAGGGCTCTTTTTTTTCCATATAACTTAAATAATTTCATCATAGCCAAAAATTAAAGCAGCCTAAAAAACCATCATAAGTAGAATGACTAAAAACACTGAAATACATAGTAGGATCACAGAGCTATATACTTAAATGTGGAAATCCTCAGAAATATTTGTTATTTCATTTAGATGAAATATTTTCAAAAAACACCCAAATACACAGTGATAAATATTAGAATAACACTTACTTTGGAAATAAGGATTCATTAGACAAGGATATCAAAGAGACTTCAAGGTGACAAGATATGAATAGGTTTGAGTGCAAGCCCTATTTGCTAACATGTTTACTGTGGTATATCTGACAATCCCCTAGCTTCTCTGACCTTAATTAATCTGTTCATTAAGGATAATAGGTGGCACCCTGATCAGTGTATTGTCAGGATTGCACATGGTGAGGTAGATGTTCCTTAAGAGGTAGTTCTACCATATCAGCATCTGAATAGAGGAGTCCTGAGCACCGGGGCCATCCAGCAAAGAACCCAACAGACATGCCATCTGTCCTTTGTTTCCTTTCAGAAGTGGTTGACCAGAAAGCTTTGTATTTCTTCAACCTGACTTCCATGCAAGATTCAGAAATGATCCTTGCAGCCACCTTTCACTTTTACTCTGAGCCACGGTGGGCCTGGACACATGAGGCATCATGCAAGAGGACAAAGAATGTGTCTTGCCATTTGCTACCCTCAGGTCCCCCCACCCGCCACTACCTCCTCTTCCACATCCTGTCACAGAACATGGCCACCCAGGGACTGCTCCGAGGGGCCATGGCCCTAGTCCCACCACCACGTGGCGTATGGCAGGCTAGGGACATCTCCTCTGTCATTAAGGCAGCTCGCCAGGATGGTGAACTTCTCCTCTCAGCCCAGTTGGATGGTGTGGAAAAAGAGCTGGGGGACTCCAAGCCAAGCTCCCACATACCCTACATTCTCATCTATGCTGATGACCTGGCCATCTTGGAGCCCAACAGTGTGGCAGTGACACTTCAAAGATATAACTCCCTTCCAGCTGGGGACACTGAGCCCCATACAGCCCCCTACAGCTCTGCAGACCTCCGTGTGCGCCAGGCTGCCCAAGGCAGTAGCTCTCTCAAAGACAATGAGCTGCCAGGGCTGAGTGGGCAGCTAGTGCCTGCCCATAGCACCCAGCATTACCACACACACGAGCTCTGGCTCAGGCCCTTCCGAGTGCTGAAACCCCGGCCTGCCCGCAAAGATCGGAGGAGAAAGGGGCATGACCTCTTCATGGCCTCCCAGATGCTCAAGTTCGATGAGAAGACCATGAAGAAAGCTCGGAGGAAGCAGTGGGATGAGCCTCGAATCTGCTCGCGGAGGTACCTGAAGGTCGACTTCGCAGACATGGGGTGGAACGAATGGATCATCTCACCCAAGTCCTTTGATGCCTATTACTGTTCGGGAGCTTGTGAGTTCCCCATGCCCAAGGTAGGTGTGTGTGAGAGGCGCTGCTCTGTCCTCAAGGGAATTGTGGTATTTGCCGCCACATTGCATTACTCTAAGTTCCACTCCTTGTTTGTAGACAAGTTTCAGCCTCTGTAAGCCAGTGTTTATGTCTCTATAAAATAGGGATAATAGAAACCAATTCTGGTAATAAAAACCTGGGACTGATTTTGAATCATAGAGATCTTGTGAGCTCAGAATAGAGCTGTACTTCATAAAATTCCAGCAGGAAAGGGTTTTGAAGGTGGATTGGCAGGCTTTTCTTTATAGAGGTACCACTGATTGGATTTGATTAGCTTCCAAGCACTATTTGCACTGCTCAGGCCCTCTAGAGTGACCCTGCTTATTTATTCCAGATGAAGAGTAGACAGAGGTCCAGCGAGGTCTGTTGGGTTAGTACGCGTTATAAATGGATCTACCATGGCCCACAGCATGCATTTTTAAAATGTTATATTGGTCTGTGTACAAAATTCATTATACATTATATTCCATGTATGTACATTGTATTTCACACATTTCTTCATTCACACTGTGTTTTATATTCTCATTCCCATACACTGTGTTTTCTAAAATTAATCTCCATTGATCTATGCCCACAATCACCCCATCTTTTCAGGTTCTCACAAGATCTTTCCTAATTCCTTTACCCCATCTTCCACCCACCTAACTCTGCAACCCCATGACTTTCTCCCTCCCTACCCTTAAACCCCTTGCCCCTCTTCTCTAACACCAGACCCCTTAAAGTATTTTCTTCATAGAATTTGACTTTTTAAATCAAAACACTTCTTAAAAAAAACAAGAATCTCTCTCCATAGATGTGTGATCCAACCTAGTGGTGATCTACAGAGCTTGCATAGATGATCTCCTATAGATAGAGCAGGATCCACAGCCTACACCTCGCCTGTTTTCTGCTCCTAGCCTGGTTTGTAGGGTTTTTGCCTCTGTGACTAGCATGATTCTGGTCCTTCCTTCCTCTCACTCAGGGCAAGAACCAACAGCTTTGACGGTGTTCACCAACCCATCTGCCCTGGCCCTAGGCTTTCAGATACTGCCCTGCCATCTAGGCTGGGCAGGGGATCTATCTAATTCTCTCTCTCTCTCTCTCTCTCTCTCTCTCTCTCTCTCTCTCTCTCTCTCTCTCTCACACACACACACACACACACACACACACACACACACATGCACGTGCTCACGCACCCATGCATCACGGCCAACAATGCAGTGGAACCCCTACCAACTAATGTTTCCCTGCCACACAGCACATACTTTTCTTCTGCTCAGTTACTCTTGCAAGTTCCAGGTCATGTCTTACCCTCCAAGAAAAAGAAGTTAATACATGAATCCTATCTGAATGTAAACAAATCAGCCAACTGCAGACCTCACATTGAGGGTGACAGTAGTATGTTCTGGAATTAAGTGACTACTTTTGAAAGCTATGCATGTACAAAATAGAGGAGATGTGTTAACAAATAGAAACACAAGTCTGCAGGAAGGCTGAGCACAATCAGGTGCAAGACAAGAGCCCTGTAGGACCCAGCCTCCAGCCTAGAGCCAGCCAGAACCTCACAAATGTGGATGCCCCCACTCTGCTCTCCTCCTAATTCATCACTCCCCCTACAAAGGCCTTTTCCATTAACTTCAATATAAAGGCAGTCTGGTGGCATAGTCCTTAGGAAATTGCTGTGCTAACACAAAGGTGACACTTCTCTGGTGGTTTGAGTTTACCAAAGGCTCTGCAGGAAAAGATGGGCACTCTTTCCCCATGCTATTTATAGCCTCTGAAACTCCACTGGAGGGCCAGCTGTGAGTCAGTTCAGACTTAATGACAAACAATTAATATTTTTAGTTTATAATATTAAGACACCTTGGCTGATGATGAGCTGAAGTCAACAGCTGCTTTGTGTTCACCTTGTCCAGGCTGACCAAGGGAAGTGTTGTCTTTGCAGTGGGATGGAAGCCCTTCCCCATGTGAGAGGCTGCCTGGGTTACAGAAAGAGATGTGATGGCAGTAGCAAGTCTGCTTTCTGATCTGGGAAAATTGCTAAGTGTATTGGTCAAGATGTTTAACCATCATAAGCTTCTGTTTATTCCCCAGGGCCACCACAATGGCATCAACTCCACTAGGTTGATAAGACTTAAGTGTGGAACAATGTGACACTATAGTGTCAAAGATGCCCATGAAATATCAATTTCATGTCCCATCACCACTGGCACACCTGCTTGAGAAATACTTCCTGTCCCCTTCAAACAAAAGCTAAAGCTACTGGGCTGCTATGATTCCAGGGGGACTGACTGGGCATCTCTTTTCCTGTCCTCTGGACAGCACCTACAGGTCTAGGTGCCCTGAATTGTATGAAGCATATGTTCATGTGGTCATGAAGAAAAGAAGATTTCTCCCCAATGGATCAGTCTCTGGTTGAACCCAGAGAAAATGTATGCCAGCCCCACTATTTTGTTTTTCTTCTAATCTATGCCTTTTCCATTGCTTCGGACTCAGAATAGCAGTAACACAATCAGGGGTCAGTGGAAAATGGGCAAGTTCAGTGTGCTGTGTGGGATTCATGTGCCTTCCCTGCCTTGCAGGTTGTCCACCCTTCCAACCATGCCACCATCCAGAGTATCATGAGGGCTGTGGGTATTATCCCGGGCATCCCAGAGCCGTGCTGTGTTCCTGACAAAATGAACTCCTTGGGGGTCCTTTTCCTGGATGAGAACCAGAATGTCGTCCTCAAGGTATACCCCAACATGTCTGTGGAGATCTGTGCCTGCCGCTAAGACCAGTTGCTCCAGGAGTGAAGAAAACTTCCCTCAGCACACATTAGCACTGCCCTCAGAACCTTCTGGAGTGGACTAGATGAGAGGAACAGCTGCGAACATAGAGCAGAGCATAAGGATACTGGAAACCAGAGACTACTGTCCATTGGAGCATCATTTGGAGTGTTTTGTATCTAGTAACTCAGTCCTTAAATGTCACCCCAGATACTCCTGACAGAATGTAGGCATTGTCTCTTCCTGAAATGGAGCATTTCCTAATGCTGATCTTTTCTGATAATTGTCTCCTGAGTTGAGGAGATAGAACTTTGTTGTAAATGTCCTGTTTATACTTCAGACCACACATTGATCTTGGGAACAGGACCTGAATAATATAGATATGTGTTTTACTGCAAACTCCATTACACAAGCTTTTCTACATATAACCAATGATGGTTTTGCTTTCTTAATATTTGTTTTATCACAAAAGACAGGAATGGACACTATTCCTCCCAGAAAAGATCATGTAGGCAAAATCTGAATTGTCTAAACATGTGTATTCTAACAACATATACAGTCATGTGTTAAAATACTAAAAAATAGCCAAGATTTCCTATTTTTGTAAATTATAGTTTCTATATTGTAGATTGTATATGTTGCATCCTTTTATGGAAGTCCAATAAATCAAAGGTGCAGTGATAGCTTAATAAACTGAATATTAACCACTCCAATATATTGATCAATCCCAGTTTGCTAGGTTGACATCTGGGACACACAGCTTCTCAGGACCCTGATAGGCCATCTCCACATTCTCTTGTTCCTGCCTCAATCTCCAGAAATACAGCTGCTCCTTCCCAGGTCTTACTCCACTCACTCTGTCCCTCCAGTGCTCACCCTTAGTGGGTATCAAAGCAAGAAGACACAGTGGCTCCTACTAGAGCACCCCCTCCCCATCTCAAGCCTTAAAGATAGCATCCACTGGGAGATTTCTGAGATATTTTGAGTAAAAGATCTTCACCTGAGTTCATTAAAGCAGGAGAATAGTCAACATAAGCCACAGGATAGAGAGGCTCCTGAGGACTAGAAGGATCATGAGATTATCCACATTACTCTCTTCTGAGTGTGTTTGTACACTGGCCACTCAGTCTCCTTATCAGCAACCCTAGTCCCACGTTGTTACTTCTTCTAGCTACCGTCAAGCTGACCCAAACTCAGGCAATTCTGTGGTTCTAGTAGTAGATCTCCAGACCTTCCTTCTTGGTCTGTCCTAGCATGGATGCTCTGATAAAAATTGCTCATTGTAGCAGAATGCAAGCTGTCAGTGAAAAAAAGGTGGTAGCTGTATAAGATGCACTGGCTGGGAATTGAACTCAGGCTTCCTGAATGGGAGGTGAGAACTCCACCACTGAATCAACACAATACCATTATTCTAGAGTTTACATGTCCTCAAAGTTGTAGTGCCTTAAGCTAGTTGGCTGGCTTTTCTGAAAACTAATATGAGTCTAGTTGAGCGCAGGGGTGTAATGCAGTCTCTTACTAGCTATGACCCAAGAGAAGGGCATGGTTCAGCTCTTAGAGGAGACTGAGAATGTGTGAATGAGCAGGCTCACTGAAAGCAGGCTGTAGGAGAGAAAAAACAAAAGTCAGCCTTTGATTTGGCTCCATGTCAGGGTCCACCGGCAAGGAACTGATGAAGAAGTACCAAAGAAATTCTATAGGAAGAAAGGAGAACACAATAGGGGGAAGACAAGGAGTTAAGGCTGTCAGTCTCATCTAGGAACTCTGGACACTCACAAGCCCATTCCAATGCCTTACTGGCTTCAGGCTACCCCTATTTGGGTGACTATGAACACCTAGCTTCTCTACCCTCTGCAAAGGCCTCCATGGTGGTGCCAGGAAACTAGGAAGCCTCTGAAGAAGGCTGCAGTGCCAGCCTTTGACAGCCAAGCAACTGAAAACCAGGGAAGAAAAGCCCAAAACCAGTAAAGCAGGGTCTGAAGGAATTTGAGTGGAGCCCACTGTCATGTGCTTAGCATTTCCACAGTGGTGCTTCTCCAGACCCTGAGATGCACACCACTGAGCTCCTGCCTGCTGCTCATGTGGTCCTTCTTGACAGAACCCTGCCAACAGAGCAGTTAAGTGAGAAGAGGCGTTTTCACGTGCACTAACTGCCTCATTCCCATAGGAATTGTACAGGAGACAGACTAAAGGACATTTCAAGTTGCTGTTGATTGATAGGTTGTCTCAAATTGGTCTAGAAGCTTAGTGTTTGGTTCATCATGTTTAAGCCTTTTTGGAACAAGACAAGACACACATCAACAGTAAAACAAAAAGACTAGGTTTTAATAGTCCAACTCTTTTTTTTTAATTGGTTTGCTTACAATGTTCATATGCATTGTGTTTCATACTATTCTTCATGAACATTGCATTTCTTACACGCATTCTCATGCATTACATTTTATAAAATTAATCACAATTGGCCTTTCCCCATCATTATTGTCCTTTTGCCCAGATCCTTGCCATTTCCTTGCCCCCCTCCCTTCACCCACCAAGCTGTGAAACCTTCTGGTTTCATCTCTACCAATCCTCTGCCCTCCCCCTCCTTGAGTTCCCAGAGTTATCCTTCTATTTTTTACAATAATGGTACTTTGCAATAGCTGTCCTTAAGAGATTGTGTTAGTTCACTGAGAACGATTTTCTCTAGCCTCTCCCATGTTATGTAGTATTTTTCAAAACCGTTGCTCCTGAGCGCTGCATTGTATTGTGTGTATGTATCACAATTTCTCAATCTATTTGGTTGTGGTTGGACATTTGGACTGTTTCCATGTTCTTGAAACGGTGACTAACGATACTATAAACATTGGTGTACAAATCTCCGTTTGTGTCTCAGTTCTAATTTCTTTGGTGTATATTCCTAGTATTAGACTAGCTGGGTCATATGGAGTTTCTATGTTCAAGTTTTTGAGGAAATGGCAAACTGTCTTACAGAGTGGTTGCACCATTTTACAATCCCACTAACAGTGTATGAGAGTTCTCACCTCTCCACATCTTCTCCAACATTTATTGCTTTCTTCCCTACTAAACTTTGCCAGTGTTATTGGGGAGAGATGGCATCTCATTGTGGTTTTGATATGTATCACTCTTATTGCCAGTGATTTTGAGCATTTCTTCATGTGTCTGTTGGCCACCTAATTCAGGTGTCTTCCTCTGGGAAAAGTTTCTCCATGTCTTTGCACATTTTGTAATTGGATTATAAGTCTTTTTCTTCTGTAGGCCCAGGAGTATTGTTTAAACTTTTGTTATGAGACCCTTGTCTGAGATACTATAGCCAAATATTTGTTCCCAGTTGGTAGGTTTCCTTTTCACCTTGTTGGGAAAAGTTTTTTATGAGCACAAAGATTTAATCTTTAGAAAGTCCCATTCATCAATTTTATTCTCTCCACACTGTGCATTTCTGGCTATATTTGAAGATCTTTTTATACCATAGGCTAGGCCATCTAAGCTTGGTTCCAGTTTGTCTCTTATGAACATTATGGCTTTTGGCTTTACTCCTAGGATGCCAAATCTTGTTCTTGTCATTATTAGATCTATTTTTCCTTCAACCTCCCTCAATTTTCTATTGAACTCTTCCTTTTAGCTCATTTTTTTCTGGCCTTTGAAGATTTTTAGATTTTCCTAAATGCCTGGAGGTCCTCTGAGTCTTCATTCCTGGATTACTGAGGTGAGAGTGGAGACTGAGAGACCATCCTCTAGGTACCACCTCATGTAGGGCTCTATGAGTATGCTGGCAATGCTGATAACCTTCTTTGCTGAGGCTGCCCTACTGATGTTCAGATGTGGAATGTGGTGTATTGGTGACCCAGGTCCAGTTCAGTGATGAGAGGCATGATCACCCTCATGGCTTCTCACAGCAACCATGCAACTTACTGCCTGATTGATGCCTGCAGAGAAACAATCTGAGGAAGAGAAGGTAGCATGTCTAACATCTCATCAAAACCACAAAAAATATTGGAATGTCCACAGCCATCTGGTTGGCGCCTAAATAATGGTCTTTACCTAGTTTCCTGCCCAGACTGTTAGGATTCTTCAAATGATACTGAGTGATCCACAGTAAAGCAAAATATAAAAGAAAATATGTTTCCTGGCTGAATTTGTTAAGTAATTCTTTTTGTTAAAATCAAAATACCAACACCAGATTAGCACAAGAACAAAAAGCTGAAATGCACCGCCTATACCTGCATCGATTCCTGAAGTCACTCAACTGCATGTTTCTGGAGGTGACAGCACAGCAGTATGGTGGCACTGTGTCACTAGGGCCTATCCCTACAGTTACACATTCTCTGAAGGAGCAAGGCAGTTTATTAATTAGTCTATGCCATAAATATAAATAGTACATGCATCTCCTTTGGTCAGTAATTGGTGAAATTGAGTCCTTCTCTTCTGTGGAATTACTGGGTAGGTTCACATTAATGAGATTTTCATTATTAATGGAACATTCCTTCTCTGTGTCTAGAGGAAGATGGTGGTTGTTGCATTGACTCCATTGCCTATGTCAAGAGTCAACTCCATGGCAACCTTTTAAGAAACACAATTAAAAATTGACTGTGTCTCTGTATCGCTTCACAATTGAAGGGATTCCTGCAGCAGACGTGCCCCTCCATCTCACCAGTGGTCTTCTATACCCTTGTTGGTACTCTCCTTTACCAAACTTAGCATCCTGCTTCAGCAATTTATCTCTTCTGATGGCATGCTGAAAGCAAAGGAAATTTGACAATGATTTATTGTGATGCATAGTTTTCTTTCTTTTTTTAGAATTTACACTAATTTTTAGAAATAGATAACCTGACCTTTCTTCCTGCTCTGGAAGTTTTGCTGAGAACTGTACACTATGAATGAGAGTGACAGAGCTTCCAGCTCTCTGTGAGTGACACAATAGACTACAGGACACCATAGTACAACAAACTGATACAAAGAGATAGTCTCTATGCATAAAATATTAGAATTTATTCTATGATGAATTCTTA